AACCTCCGTGCCACCTCGACATCAAATCATCACGTTTAAAAGTTTATCAGAAAAAAAATTACTAATTTGACGAAACCAAACCAGAGCTCAGCTATCTTAAAATACTGACACGAAGAGTATGAGTTATTGTAATTAAGCCATATTATTATCTTCGAAGATTATTGAGAGACAACGACATTTTTTAAATTATAAATTAAAAAGGATCCTATCTTTTGTCTCTCTTAATTCCTAATCCATAGAAGATCGGTGATGCACTCGTAGCTCCTCCGTTGTTGGGCATATCCGGGTGGCGCTGAATGCTTACCATCAGGTAAACCGCGTGCTCGATTGCCGTCCTATCAAATTCAAATTATATATTCCTAAAACTGAAAACCTTCTAATTAATTAACCAAGGTATTTAAATAATTATTTTTCGCGTTAATACCCGCGTAATTATCTATACGTTGTAAACATGAACCGCGAAAGTTCAAAAGTTAATATGAAAATCTTCAACCAGAATTATAATATACTTCCCACATGACTTCACTACTTCACAATGAATACTATTTTCTTCGTTTACCTATTCTGGTCTTGTTTGTATTATCCGTTTTTCCTGTGTGTCGTTACTTAGAGTCCCGTTAGTACATCGAACTTGAAATTCATGTGCATTTTCGATTACAGCGTAGATACACACAAACCGACGTAATTGTTCATGCTAATGCAGTCTGGTTTAACTCAGCTACTTAGATTTTAATTAGCCGGTAGTTGTGTAATAGTTAAGTAGAATGAAGCAGCTTTATATTTTTACGTCGCATCACGTCATCATCAGCCTATAAGTGCCCACTGCTGAGCAAAGGCCTCTTCTGACATGGTGAAGGTCTGAGCAATAATCAACACGTTTGCTGGAGGCGGATAAGTGATTTCAAACTTATAATTAGAAGTGTGGGAGAGCCATGCTTCGGCACGAATGGGTCGGCTCGACCGGAGTGATACCACGGCCTCACAAAAAACCGGCGTAAAACAACAACAGCGTTGTGTTTCGCCGTGTGAGTGAGGTTACCGGAGGCCCAATCCTTCCCCTCTCCCAATCCCTTCTCAATCTCTAATCCCTAAAAGGTCGGCAACGCACTCGCAACTACTCCGTTGCGAGGATCCATGGACGGCGCTGATTGCTTACCATCAGGTAATCCGTCTGCTCGTTTACCGACATATTACACACAAAAAAAAAGCGCTCTCTCTTCTCTTCGCTCTGTTCACCGACTGTTAGTGGTAATTATAGACTTACATATAACACGGAATAAGTCACATTGGTGCTTTTCAGGTTTAAAACTTGCATGAGTTGCAGTCCCTTTAACCTCCGGGCCGCCACGACGCATAACATTTTTAACCGACTTCAAAAAAGGAGTATTTTTTTTTTTTTTATGTATGTACACTGATTACTCGAAGACACCTGGACCGATTTGCAAAATTCTTTTTTTATTCGATAGGGTATACTTGCCATTTGGTCCCATTGTCATGAGGTCAGGATCTGATGATGGAATCCTGGAGAAACCGAGGGGAACTTTCAAAAATTGTAGGGGCGAGTAGGTTTTTTGTATGATGTTTAAGTAGACCTTTAACAACACTACAACTTGACGAAGGTCGAAGTCGACCAGATGTTGGAGCTGGAAGACAGTCGAGGGATCTCCTTGACTATTTGGAGTAATTGCCTTGTGTTTGGGCTTGAATGATTCGTATTGGCGAGCACTTTGCAGCAGGCTTGGTCGTAACGGTCATTAAGGGTCTGATGATGAGAACGAAGGACAGCTCAGGGAACTCCTGAACGGTTTACAGTAACTACTTCGTGTTTGAACTTAATTCATTTATATTGATGAAAACTTTGTACCTGTAGGTATGTATCATAACAACTGAAGGTCTGCAGTTTACCTGATGATGGAGACAATTGACCGTCGAGGGAATTCCGGATGGAAACGAGAGACAGTCGAGAGAACTTCTCAATGATTCATAGCAGCTTCCTTGTGTTTGAGCTTAATTTATTCGTTTTGATGAGAACTTTACACCTTGATGGATTGTGGCTGTCATTAGGGATCTGATGATGAAGACGAATGACAGTCTAGGGAACTCCTCAACGGTTTACAGTAGCTACCTCGTGTTTAGACTTAATTAATTCATATTGTTAAGAACTTTCCCTCTCCTAGAGAGATAGCCTGTGTCCCAGTAGTGGGAACATTAAAATGGCTGATGATGATGATGATGATGATGATGATGATGACAACTTTCCCATTTCTTGGGATCTATATTTTTTAATCGGGCGGCTCCATTCGTTCACCTACACATAGCTACTTATAAATTAACAAATATTACTGTAGTTTACAGAGGAACTTGCAACTGATACTAAAAAGAAAAAAATAAAAAAACTACGTTTAAAAAAACCGACTTCAAAAACAAAAAAGTGTCAAATAAGTAATTAAAATTGATATTTTAATAGCACTCTTACGTACGCGAAGCTAATACTTTTAATATTAATAATAAAACACTATCAATTCTATGTGCTACCTATTCATAGGTTTGAAGTCGGTGCCAAGCCCTAAACAGAATAAAACTAAATGAGAATTAAGACTGTTTAACTGCTAAAAAACGAAATTTCCACAACTAACAACGCAGCTACCTACTACTACTTTTAACAACCAAGTACCATATATCTTTCTAAGCTATATACAGTTTCGCCGGTAACGGAACCATATAGACTTCTGATTCTACGCTAACGCCATCAAGTTAGAAAATCGGTACTAAATTTCTTAAATCCTAACAAATAAATTAAAACGCGCCCGGCGAGTTATAATAAGTACTTAGGTACTCATGTAATCATGCTTATTATATTATGTATTAGGCTTGGCACCGACTTCAAACCTATGAATAGGTAGCACATAGAATTGATAGTGTTTTATTATTAATATTAAAAGTATTAGCTTCGCGTACGTAAGAGTGCTATTAAAATATCAATTTTAATTACTTATTTGACACTTTTTTGTTTTTGAAGTCGGTTTTTTTAAACGTAGTTTTTTTTATAAATAAATGTAAATCAAAATTTACGACTTTTAACGTGTTATTCTTAAAATTAATCATTTAATTTACACTTTTGTTTGGGAGAGCTATGTTTCAGCACGAATTGGCCAGCTTGATATCAGTCTCATAAAATGCAGCCGGCGTGTAACAACGTCTCCACTGGTTTGGATTTTTGGTTGTAAGTGAAATCGGAAGCCCAAGCCTTCCCTTATCATGGTTCTCAACCAAAAGATTCTTGCACCTATATCACCCAAAAGGACATGCGTGGTTTGCATAAGCGACATGGTTCACATGCGACGGCGCAATGGCTTAATATCCGAACTGCTAAGCTATAAGGAGTTACACGTGCTATTGTGAGTTAACCATAAAAGATAGACATATGAAAGAAACAAAAAGAAAAAGTATTTATTCGCGTCTGTCGCTGTCATATGCTGTAAAACAATTTGCTTTAGATGATTTTCTGTAGAATATTTCCGTCATACAAAATTTCTATGTAACTTTAACCCTTAAGGCTACACACGCGACGAAAACGTAAAAAAGGTAGTAACTTCTCCCGTTTTCCCAACATTTCCTTTTACTGCTCTGCTCCTATTATTTGTAGCGTGATGGAAAGTATCCTATAACCTGTATAAAGAATAATTGTACCAAGTTTTGTTAAAACACCCCCTGGTAGTTATTTTGAAAATATATTTAATGTTCAGAATTGACCTCTCTACAGATTTATTATAGGTATAGATTGAAATACGATATGAATGATATATGTATATCAATATGAAGAAGAACGGGAAAGATAGCCCATTTTTTCCCTTAAGGTACGGGAGTACCTAAAGTCTTTAATATCAACCATAAAATCTGTAACAATTTCAAACCTTGAATTTAAATGAGATTTTTTTATAACTGAAAGATTATAAGTATCTAGCACGGCAGTCATGCTTTAATTTAAACCATTCAAAAATCGAGACAAATATGCTATTGTATTTCTTTATTATGATTCAAAATTTTATCAACTCTGATTATTTCGACACACATTTTTAAGATATTAATTTGAATAACTTCATGACCGTATCATTACTAGTGTCAATCTGTATAGTTCGAATATAAGTCAGGTAAATCCTGGTCAAAATTTAAATTCATAAATAATTATCATATTTACTAAATACAAAAAATATTTATTCCGCAACAGTACAAGTAGCGACATCTATCCATCGGTAAGTATAACTAAGAATGAAACCAGTTTTCCTCCGCACGTTGTTGCTTAATCATGTTCAAACAATATTATACTTTGGAAGCATTCAGTGGTTCAGCTTGAAATTTGTAAAGACAACTAGATGGCGTTAGCAGTTTAGTTACCTGAGTTTCATTATAGCACTTGTTTTCATGCGAAAGGGATTTCAAACTTAAAATTAAAAGTAAGGTACGAGCAAAAAGTGACAGTTATTCTGTGGTTATTAAATATTGTTTTAGGAACCATATTTATAGCATTATATTAAATGCTAACTTACCGCGGCTATTGCGTAATTTTCTAGGTCAAAAATGAATAATTTGAGTTTTCAATAATTTGAAATATTAAAATATAGCCTTATACTTTTTCATTGCTTTGACAATATGCTTTATTTTAAATATTCAATAGCAAACTTTTTAACAATAAGAAAGCTGTTCTGACCTTTCGTCATTTTTATGTTGCAATCTCATACAAAATTCCTATAAAAATATAGTTTTTGACATTTCAACAAAAGTAATGAATTTGACTATTTTTATTTTGTGTATTGCCAGTAACGTTTTTAATTGAGTCCTCTCCAAAAAGGAAGGTATTGCTTATATACTCTTTGATGAAAGTAAACCCAACAAGAAACAAGAAAAAGATGAAATAAATGTTTTATTTAAGAAAATTATTCTGCCCAAAATAAGTCTCCCGGTCACCTGGCGTAACATTAGGAAAGAATCCAAGACATTTTCTAATGTAACGTCTTATGAACAATATTGTGACGTGCTCTGGCCTTAAGCTTTGCTGTAGACGGTTGTTCAGGTGATTTTGTCGCAAAAACGTCATGATCCACATATCTGATTATCTTATCGTAAACTACGACAGCATTGCATGTATCACCTTCACGAATCCAAAAATCTGAAAAAAAATAATATAATTATCTCGTAGTAAAAACATATGATAGCAGTTGGTTTTTGAACCCGGTTTCGCTATTTTTCTATCTTGTATCATCGGATCTGTGTCTACAATCCGGTATCTATTGAAACGAAGTAGTAGAAGTTGAACAAATTTTTATATTTCTCTCTTCTTTCCTTCAACTACGTATATCTACCTAATTTGAAAAATCTTTGCTGCGTTTTACCGTAAAAGATAGAAAGCAAACAGATACGTATATTCTCTCAACAACCAATCAATTCAAGTCTGGTTTAACACCTACTGATAGCTTTTCGAAATACTCAAATTCCATTCCATTTAAAAGAAATTAAACTTAAAAAGCGCAACGGTATAAATTTGTTCTGTAATCAGGGCGGGTCGGTTACAGAGCAAAGTCATCTTTTCAAAAATTACAAGACGATACACACCGCATTAAACTGTAAAATCCACCTGGACTTGTCTAACTCTATGTCGGCCAATCAATGGCAAGGAAAAAGACGCCACACGGCGCGTCTTTTAAAATTCTATGGTGCTGGCGAATAGTGGTCGGGCGGCTTTTCCCTATTGGACCACTGGGCCACCAGGTCTGAGACGTTTAGAAACGTTATTCGCTATAGTTCGTATTTTCTGATGATGATGACGATTATGATGAATGATGATACCACCTACTTACGGACTACGGCTAGGTGAAATAATATATGAACATTCATTTCATTAATAAAAGGTTCTTAGTAAAATAATTAAGCAGTAAGAATAGTAAGTATTATTAATCAATTCCCCATTTTCGTTCAAACGGACCCAATTCCCATCAGCAAACAGACTACATGATGGTAAGCAATCGGCGCCGCCAAAGGACACTCGCAACACCAGAGGAGTTCGAGTGCGTTGCCGGCCTTTTGGGGATTAGGGTATTGGAGATTAAAGGATTAAGGAAGGATTGTGCCACCCGTAATCTTACTCACACGGCGAAACACAACGCTGTGGTTGTTTTACGCCAGTTTTATGTAAGGCCCCGGTACCATTTCGGTCGAGCCGACCCATTCGTGCCTTAGCCCGGCTCTACCACACTTTCACATCATCCGAACGATCGTTAGCTTTCCTGAATCCCTACAGCAATCATTCCGAAAGTTAAACAATACCCACCACCCAAGATACAAACCTCCAAGCCACTCGCAGTTCGCTCTATAGAACAAGCACTTATCAGGAAATTCCGTCATTTGATTCGTTTCCTCGTTGATGGCACAAACTTTGTCACCGCCGGGAGTGCAGCTTCTCTGTTTGTGACAGTTAAATAATGCGTAATTTTCTCTGTACTGAAATAATAAGACAAGTCAATGTTCATTAAATACAAATAATTATTGACCATCGTTCGTGTCGGATTTTTACATTCTGTATATTTTTCATTCAATACGGATATTCGTTATTCGATATGTATAAATTATCAAATTTTTTAGGCATAGTATTTGAAAATGGTCCTGCCTTTATATATAGATAAATTATTTAAAACAGAAGTAAGACGCCTCTTTGAGGAGTGACTTTAGAGAAGCCGTCCTCACTTTCCGCCTGACGCAGTTGCTTACCGGGCACAGCTTCGCTAGGTTCCTGTTTAGGATTCGGTGGGAGGAAACGCCCATGTGGCGTCATTGTGAGGACCACATTATACTTAGATAGAGGACACAGTGGAGAATACGGTAGCAATGTGTCTAGCCTGGGCTAAGCACCGCCGTCTTCTCTGGGAAGTGATTGGTGGTGGAGATCTCTCGCGTCACACCTCTGTCGAAGAAAAGTTGTGGAGCGAGAGGAACTGGATGGCCGCCTCCTGTTTCTGGTGTCAGACTTGGTGCACACGACAATAGATCGTCGGAGCCGCGAGAAGCTGTTGAATGCACTTGATAATATCTTTGAGCTATGGGAGAGGCTTATGTTTAGCGGTAGATAATGACAAGAATGTCATGGTTACCCGGTGGTTAAGGCAACTCCTGCATGAGGAGGCAGGTTGAAAACCTAAGAAGTGCCAATGCGACTTTTTCGAATCATAAGTATGTACTTTCTAAGATTATTTAAGATACCACTGACAAACGGTGAAAGAAAACATCATGAGAAAACCAGGTCTTATACCTAATTTCTAAATTTTAATCGCCAACGCGCTTTGAGCAAGCGTTGTGATTACTGCTCCTTCTCCGAGTGAGAAGAAGCCGCTGCTCACCAATCAGCATTTATAGGCTATGTATGATGTAACGACAATAGTTGCAAGACAAATTCTTAATAAATATATATTATGCGGTTAAACAAGTAACCTAAGTAAAAATAAGCAAGAAATGATTCAGTTCATAAGTTCGGTTTAGAGCTGCATGTTGCTTTAATGGAGCTGTGGGCTTGCACTGTTAACAAAATCCTAAAATACTTTAAGAAGAAATTGTTGATCGTCGAAAATTGGATGGTCGATCAGGCGGCCTACTTGTCAGCTATTCAATCAAAGTTTTAATTCAGAAAACAGTTTCTATGATGAAAGAACAGATAGATCAGAACAATTTATCCAATTGTTCTGATCTATCTGTTCTTTTCTGTTGTTTTTTTTCATATCTAAGTTTGGCTACCTGTCCCAATGGTTATCTGATGGATAGCAATCTGCGCCGTTCATGGCCTGAAGCAAGGAGTTACTAGTGCGTTGTCGGCCCTGTAGGGTTAAGGCTTCAAGGGACTTCTAGATGAAGGAAACATGAGGATTGGCCCTCTCTCCCAATTAAAACTAAGCTACAAAGGTTACAGTTATGATTGTAATAAAATAAAATAAAACAATACATGGAAAAAAAATTTTTTTTATTTTATAATACTAATTTCATTTTCAAACCAGTAGAGCGTGTATCATTAGACTTTTTATTGATTGGTAGTTGAATATGTTGGAGAGTTTGATTTTTATCATGTTTTTCATATTCCATTTTCGTTTCACAGACGACTTGAGCTACCAAACGAAACCCTGAAATTAAGACTTTATGTTACTAGTTATTTAATTGTATTAGGAAATAATTGCCACCCTTGTTTTTTTGGAGGGGGGAAAATCATCAAATGACTTATCCCGCCATTGGCAGGGCCTTCCCTTGAAATGGAGTATCAGATTCTTTTTCACCAAAACCCACCCCGTTCTATCTCCTGTTCTACGCCCGCAATCCCGTACGACACTCTTAGATACATAATTTTGAATATTGTATCAAATTTTAAAAAGACTGAAATTGTATAACTTTCAAGCAAATTTATATTTTCGGTGCGAAATTAAACTTTAATCATTTTTAAATCAAAGTAAAACATCTCATGTTCGTATATACATACATAAAGAACTAAATGTTAATACTAACTTCCAGCTTTGACACAGTTGGCCTTGAACAGCGTGCACAGATCTTCAAAAACCGCGAGGTTTGGTCGGTTGGGGTCATAGCCGCACACTTTAGATCCCCCGGGGGAACAAGATTTCTGCTTGTAACAGTAGAACTGTGCCTCGCGCTCAGCTAACATATTGTTTGACTAGGAAACACCGGTATTTTGTATTCAAACGTGTTAAAAATTAAAAAGTATAATGTTAGAAAAATAAGAATGTCATAATACTTATGACATTCTCATTTTTTATATACCGGTTAAGTTCGGATTACTTTGACCCTGCGGGGTAACTTTGATCCAAACCCTTTAACCAATAATAACTGAGAACCAAAAATATATTCGTTTTTCATTGGTTCGAAAATTTGGATCAAAGTAACCCGACCTTACGGTAGGTATGTATCATAAGTAAAAGGAGGAGTATAAGGAAAAAAATTGAACATCGCTGTCTATGTCAATTTCTGAAGAAAGCTTCAAAACAGCAAAAATTATCTTATCGCGGTTGGAACAAAAGGGAAGTAGCTTCGACACGAATGGGTGAGCTCAACCGATGTGATACCACGGCCTCACAGAAAACCGGCGTTTTGAACATCCACAGCGTTGTGTTTCGCGGTGTAGTATCAGCTCGCCCCCTGGATCTTGCCCCTTCCGATTAAAATGTTCCACTCGCCCCGTTTTTATTAATTTGGAGTTGTGGTTCGCCCCTCACGAAAACCCTTACGGGGCGAGTAAAAATTTAACAATTAAATAATTATTTTGATGCATCGACTCGCCCCTTACGGTATTCCCTTTGAAATTTAACTAAAAAAGGTATATTCAGAAAAATGTACAGTAAACAAAACTGGTAAGTAATTTAACCACTTGTGATAGTTTTATTACCTGGCTTACCTACTGTAACAAAAGGGACCTTTTATGGGACCATAATTGAAGTTTAAGAAAAAATATTCATTTAAATATTTTATAAACTTAGAGTTCTGACAGTACTTTTAACTAACCAACAATCGGGGGCGAGTTGGAGTATCTAATAATTTAAGGGGCGAGTTGATGCACTTAGGCAATCAGGGGCGAGATCCAAGGGGCGAGCTGAGCCTACACCTGTTTCGCCGTGTGACTGAGGTTACTGGAAGCTAAATCACTCCCCCTCCGCCTCCATTGTTTCCCAATCCCTAAATACCAGAATCTTTAGGCAACGCACTTGTAAGTACTATGTGTTTTGTGGCGGGTGTCCATGGGCGACGCCGATCGCTTTCCATCAGGTAATCTGTCAGCTCGTTTGTCGACTTAACCCACATAAAAAATGCGTAAAAATATTTTGACTGCAAAAAAAAAATCTTCAATTACTTACATCTTTCGATTGATTCGACACGTCACTACTACTCGTATCACTTTTTATTGGTTTCATTTCACTCGATACGGCAAGTAATACTGTAAACATTTTAATACCTGTTATTTATTATTTAAGTAAATAAGTATAATAATGCAATTATCCCATTATTTTCCATACAGACTTACAGAGTCCATGACCTCGAAAATCTGAATCTATTTTAAACCTTGATATATTGCGTACTAGCTACCCGCCCTGGCTCCGCATGGGTGCCTTGCTGATACTAAGTAATTTCACCTAATTATCTTAAATGAATTTTATTATACATATAAACCTTTCTCTTCAATCACTATATCTACTAAACAAACCGCATTGAAATCCGTTGTGTAGTTTTAAAGATTTAAGCGTACAAAAGGATATACGAACAGATAAAGCGATTTTGTTTTATACTGTGTAGTGATAAGGATCAAGTTGCATTAAAAATTCTAATAAAATAAACATTATTTTTTTTTACAGTGGTTCATTATTCCAATTACTAGACTGTCAATAAGCTATGTATACTCACCGAAAACAAAAATTATGGGAAATGTAAACCTAAATAATTGTACCACCATCATTTAGCAATAAAATATGTATTTATTTCACGCTTATAAATTGATTACCATTTATATACTTTTTTAGCACATTGTATCCATTTAGCCGGTGAAAAATCTGAAAATAAATAAAGAATTTATTTTATTAATTAAATAAAGTCTATGATTCCTATTTACAGAAAATATATTATTCAATTTTCTGCATCAACTTTAATAATCTTTTTCATAATATTAATTTATTTTAATATATTTTTTCAATGTCAGTGTTATATTTTGATGTTATTTATTTTTATAGAGATAAATAACTTCCTACAAAATAAATATAATATTCTTTCATTAAATAAATATTCCATACCTCAAAAAATATTTAAAAATAGTACTTTAGCAATTTTATTTTTGTTATCAACGGCTGAAAGCTAATACAAAGTATATAAAATAAATAATAGAATCTTGATACAGAGGCAAGTAACATATTGTATTTTTATTGTTTTTAAATAATACATAAATATAATAAATAGAAAATAAACTTATAAAATACTAAAGGAAATAAATAAACGACCTCACAGAAAACCGGCTTAAACCAATCACAGCGTTATGTTCCGCAGTGTGAGTGAGGTTACCAGAGGCCCAATTCTTCCCCTCCCCTAATCCCTAATTCGCCTAAACCATTATCCCACTCAGTCGGCAACGCACTCTCCTCCTTTGTGACGTGCGGCGCTGACTGCTTACCATCAGGACGTCAGCTCGTTAGTCGTACTATAACAAAAAAAAACACAATGGGCCGAGGTCGCGATGCCTCATTGCGCTTACCCCGCAATCCCGGCTGAACATCGGCTCTATTAATAGGGCCCCGTCTGTGGTGGTCTATTGGCTCTTTAAAGAGGGGTCTTACCGCTGCTACAATAGCGTGAACGAAGCGTGGGGTGACTTGACACTTGCTTTCACATACGACACATGAAACAGGGACATTCTTGTGACAAGACAAGCCACGCTATTTAAGGGTGTCTCCAACCTTACTTACCATGCAAATGTTCACAATTATGTTTGTACAAATCGCATGTAGTGTGGAATATTCTTCGCTGTTTCCTTCTTTTGTCCAAACCACAAATCTTCTTGCCAGCAGTATTACAGTATTTTGCCATCCAACACCAGTATTCGTTGATGACTGTCGCGTGGCCGGCTTCGAAGACGGTTTTGCCGGATAATGTCGTTAGCTATAAAAATTAAAGAATCGGTTTGCAATTGGTTCTAAGTGCTGGAGGCTATTTTGTGATTTTTTTCCAAAAATATATTATTTTTAGTTCTATTTACTATGATAATATTTTAAAGAACTACGTTCTCTCATAATTTATTAAAACCATTGGTGATAAGTATTTTCTACCTGTTTTGCTTAGATTAGTATATTTTTATTTATAGTATACACAGGGTGTCAGACACGTTACATAACTAACTCCTACATTGTTGGGGTGTCCATGGGCGGGGCTATTACCTACTAACCTATGACATTAAAATTAGAACAAAATAGATAAGAATAGAAAAAAGATTTTGACAGATCGATAGAAACACTAGTTACTGTATCCACATTTTTTAAATTTGCAATTTCATTTTTATGGTTCAACGTTTGTTTCATACAACCGGTAAATAAAACATGCAAGAGATTCTATCATAAAAAAGAAATCCGCATATTTAATATGGCTAATTAATAATTGTGGCTGCCTCAAATTAAAGCTATTGAGAAGAGTCAAGCTTCGACATGAGTAAGCAGGCTCGACCGGAGTAATACCACATCCTCATAGAACATTGACGTTAAACAACGCTTGCGTCTCAAACCCCCGTCCCTGATTTCCAAACCCCCTATCCTTAAATCACTAACAACCCACAAACGGCCAGCAACGCTCAATCGTCAATTGCTTACCATCATGATATCTTTCTGCTCAGTCTCAATAGAATAGTCTCTAAGGAGGTTAAGGAGTTTTCTTGTTTTTTTTTATTTGACATCGGTACTTGTGTGCCCCATCTGTCGTGGCACTTTAAGGTACGCGCAGCCCAAGGTGGATATACCGCTACCACACGCTCCACCGTGCCTTTCGCGCGATCTTCACAGTATTGATAGTGATGAGTAATTTTCGTTCACGTAAGCATAGCCCTTCGGACAGCAAAAGGCGTAACCATTTAGATGTCTCTTGCTTGCTTGGGCATTTATAAGCTTGTGTTGTGTGAGCAAATACCTCTTCTTACTTTAAGAAAGATTGAACAGTAATCACCAAGCATGCTTAACTTATGATTAGTTATTAAAGTTAGTAGTCTCAATATTATTTACGTGTTTCAGGAATAGGTTTAAAATGGAGAATCATTTTGAATACTTCAAAAACATTATATTTATTAAAAATGTTAAAAGACCAATGTTTTAGGCTGTCATGATTTTTATTAGCTTTCAAACGAGTATTTTTATTCTCAGTATTTTAAATCTTTTTCTTAGCTCTCGAATTAGACTTTTTTGTTTCAAAGACTTTAATATCATCGTTGTCATCTTCATTATTATTGTTATTGTTATTATTTTCAACTTTAGTATTAGTATTATTTTTAAAGTCGTCTATTAGGTGAAAGCATCTTTTCCGAGGTGTGATGTGGAACGCTGAAATAAAAGTAGTTACATAAATAAGAGTTTGGCCTTATTATAGACAAATATCTAGTGCAACTATCAAGCACAAGGTTCCAGAATCCATGAAATACTTTTTTTTTTTATAATTTGTGTCCTTTTCATCATCTACAATGAGCAGATAGGTATGTATTTTTTTTTGGTCGGCAAACGACCTGACGGATTACCTGATGGTAAGCAATCAGCGCCGCCCATGGACACCCGCAACGGAGGAGTTACGAGTGCGTTGCCGACCTTTTAGGGATTCGGGATTTGGAGATTTGGGATTGAGGGAGGGGAAGGATTAGGCCTCCGGTAACCTCACTCACACGGCGAAACACAACGCTGTGGTTGTTTCACGCCGGTTTTCTGTGAGGCCGTGGTATCACTCCGGTCGAGCCGACCCATTCGTGCCGAAGCATGGCTCTCCCACACTAATATTGTATTCTTTCGTGTATGAAAGAATACAATATTAGTATGCTTTCATAATGGCAATAACATGTGGGTTATATTTAATTTTATGCATAAGGCAAAGGTGACAATTATGTGCCTGTGTGACCAGAGTAATAGAGTAATCATCTAGTTTATTTGTATTTCTTTATAATGACTTTTTTGATACTCATCAAATTTCTTCTCCTGCCTAGGGAGGGGCAAGAAGGGCAAGAAGGGGAAGACATTTGATGAGTTTCTCCTCACAAAAAATGCACAGATTAGGAGTTCGAACATAATTGATTTGAACGTTAGAGAATTTCGATAGATTAAATTATAATAATATGAAATTATACATAGCCCCTGATTAATAAAGCCACTGAATTGATCAATCTTTTATACAGCATCCGCATAAACAACAAACAAACCAACTTACAAGTGTTTTGAATACAGTTAAATTCGTGAATATCACATAAATCCAAAAATAGTCTTGGTCTTCCGTTTTCGTCTACACCACATCTTTCAATTCCATTGTGCAAGCAAGTTTTCGCTTTATAGCAATTCTGAAATCACAAAAGCATTGTTCTATTTTGAAGTTACATTATATAATAGCATCAGCATGCAATTTTTTGTCACTATTCCCTTAATTTGAAAAGGAACATCATCAATGTCGGACAGCGCGTCCAAGAACTGGTCCACGCAGCCGCAGCGCCTCTTAATGATACCTAAACCAGAGTAGGATAAGTTCTGTGTTGAGCCTCCAGTAACGTTCCTGACACAGCGTTAGACAACGGAAGTTTTGTTTCACGCCGGTATTCTGTGTCATCGTGGTATCACTCCGGTGGAGTCGCACGTTCGTGCCGAGGCCAGGTTCTTTCACACTGTATATTAAAACAAAGATTGGAAAGCAGCAATGTCGTCAACAATAACAATAGTCATCAGACGTTTAGAGGCTTTTTAGAAAAAATATTACAAATACAAAAATCTACTTATCTTCTTGTTTATTTTAAAATAGTTTCACGTTACCAAGTAGTAAACAAAATCATAAAATTTATTGTCATGTTGTCATGGCAAAATTACAAGTTATTAAGAAGCAGATGGACCAACAGAACTGATATTAGGTAATCAACGCCTCCCATGGACACCCGCAAAAAAATTAAGTTTTTTCGATGACTTCACACACACGATGGAACATAACCTAAGCATTGTTTACGTAAGTTTTCTGGGCTAGCCGATTCGTGCCGGGAGCATGGCTCATTTTTTTATGGAATAGGTTGGCAAATTAGCAGACGGATTACCTGATGGCAAGTAATCAGCACCGCCTATGGACACCCGCAACGGAAGAGTTAAGAGTGCGTTGCCGACCTTTTAGGTATTAGGGTTTTGGAGATTTAGGGATTGGGAGAGATCGGGGGAAGGGAAGGATTGGGCCTCCGGTAACCTCACTCACACGGCGAAACACACAATGTGGTTGTTTCACGTGTGGGAAGCTTGGCTCTCCCACATTTATCACATACAGGTATCGAAAAACATCCCCACCAATTATATACTTACTTTATTGGATTCTGATTGCCAAAAACAGATAGTCAACACGAAGATCACTGTAAAATAAATTAAAAAACAGCTATTGAACAGTACAGAATTATCGCGAAAAAGATTTGTAACTAAATAACGTTCCTATAAATAATACCTTTTAAAACGTCTACGTTTAGCTTCTGTGACAAAAAACAAATCTATCGAGTTATTTTACATTACCTATTTCGTTATCATCAATGCTTTATGTATTTTATCCATAATGAATAAAACTTTTCGACATAGCACGCGGGTGAAGCCGCGAGCAGAAGCTAGGTCACTATATAGCTATAACGCATCTAATAGTTTTAAAATACAATGTTCAAAACTATATTATGACAAATCAGTAGCTAAAAAATTATAATAAATTAATGGCAATCATTCTTACCAATCGAAAAAGTGACGCAACGCATTTCCAATTGTTTAGCTTCAAAATCAAATTGCTTTTAGGAAAGCCGTAGTCTTAATACCTTTTATAGTTGAACAAGTTAGAAACGAATTTTACGACACTGTAACACTTATATGCACAATATTTTATCCATCTCTTTATAGTTCTTGCGAAAATGTATTTGGTGCAGGTAAGTTACTGTTAACGACACGGAATGCATGAAGTAGGTACGTATAACCTTCATGCATTCGAAAAGATAAATATTTTATTCCAGTACACTTTCTACTACTTGAAGAAATAGTTTAGGATGAGTTTAGAAACTCATCGTCAAACAATGGGTAATGACGTAAGAAAAAGGATAACATAAATTGTAGAAGGCGTTTTACACACTACCTTTTTTCTATAAATTCTTTATTTTTAGAATATGTTCCTGATTAAAAGAGAATTGTGTTTTAAAGCTTTGAGCGGAAAACTATTAAGGCATCATCATATGATATGATATGATGTGTTTTAAAATGTTGAACTTTATTGTAGAATATTAAATCGTGTTTCACACACCATGCTATGCAGAAAACAAGGAGTAATTTTTGTTTCAGAATTTTCAAAAAAAAACATTGTAACACATGATCTTGTTTGAAAAATGTATCCTATGTATTACAATATTTGGGTTATTTTTTCTGCAAGTGGAGTCTAGGAAGAAGTTTTATGGGGTATGTATTTTTGTCATTAATTTTTAATCATCCAATTTTGAACAAGGCACACTTCTTTTACAAGTTTAACAGGTGGCTTGAAGAATACTGTGTCATAACCCTCATCAAGAGGACTACCAAAGTCAAAGTAAAAGTCAAAATCATCTAATTCAATTTATTTATTAAGGTAATTACAACAGGTAACAATCAAAGCATGGTGATTATAACAGTATATAGGTTAAGTACTGATTGATACCCTAACGTAATCACACAACATGATGTATGTTCTAGAGTTAGCTAAATACAACAAAAAATTGAGATTTTACTATGAAATTTAAAGTAATGCAGTACAGTTTACCAAAATAAGTTTAAATGGGTACAGCGATTCAATGTGTATGTGTTTATAGTGTTAACGCGCAAACATTTCTCTAATAAACGGCAGCTCGTGAGTCGAAGATGTCAATGCTACTATTTTTGTTTCCCGATATATCGTTGTTTAGACCGAATTAGACCCATTCAGGCACTTTTGAACGTCAAACAAAATTTTAAAGATATAAAGTGTCAGTCTGTCGGTCAGTCCTCTTAGTGAAGCTATTCGCTCGTTCCAAAGTGTAGATTCCAATGGAGAAGAACGAGCAAGAAATTCCATGGTTACTCTTTTTAAATCAGTGTCACATAAAGATTCTGAAGAAATGAAGAAACATAAAAAGAAAATAAAAATCCATTAGTTGTTGGTTGCAGTTTTAGGATATAATAATAAACCTATTTATGGGATAGAAGCTAGCCGAAGGATTCACCTCATGGTTAGCAATTGGCACCACCCAGGAACACTTGCAATACCTGGGATACTGCAGTTGATGCCTGCCTTTTAGGGATTAGGGATTTAAGGATCGGGAAAGAGGAACTCGTCAACAGTTCAGATTTGTATTATTCTTTTTTATCTTTGCCAGGGTTAGATGCAATAAAAAGATTCTTGATTTTTCCAGATTCCATGCGTAGATGCAGCTATTTGTGTTCACACTAAGAAACGAGTTTGTGGTATGGTCCGAGCGACTAGAGAAGTACGCTGGTTCTTAGACAATTGTGATATATTTGAATTCAACTGTGAATATAGCACTAGTAAGTATTTTTCTCAATAAAATTTAGGGCCTATTTAATATGACGCTTGATCCCCGTCCGACCGTAAGCGTGGTTCGGACGAGAAACAGTAGCTCATCGCCCTACCACAACCAAAACCCAACGTACGGCGCGTAGCGTTCTGCGTGCACATAGAAGAGCCAATAGATTATTACAGATGGGGCCCAACAAAACAGCCACTAATATTTAGCCAGAGTTGCGGGGTAAACCTAAACGGGCAAGTTTCTAGTTAGTACGAGTCGCACTCCCAGGACGATAAAAGTCATGTAATAATCCTTTCCCTCTCAAAACCTCAAAAAACCCTTTTAAGCCTTAGAAAGCTCTCTGGCTTCTAAATAAAATTTATATTTATCTAAAATAATCTCTAATTAATTATCTATCTTATTTTATTTACTATCTAAAATATCAATTATATTTACATAAAATGTTTGACATGTCTTTTATCGATATATTGTAAACAATTCAGCAAACAACAGTTCGTTTCTATAATAACTACTAGATTTGGTTTTATTTGTGTATAATAAATTTTGAAGACTGTGCAACTGGTACAATTAAAAGTTTGGCAACCTCGTTCAACTCAGTTTTTAGAAACTTTATTTGGTTCCAAATTCGTATTGGTCTGTTGGGGAAGTCAAGTGGTCAAGTAGTAGTAATAAATAAAATTGATTTTCACTGACGCAAATTTGGTTCCTAATAATTTTGCTAATAATCACCTTGAAAACATTGTTTCAGAATTCCAAAAAACTGACAAAAGAGACTGCAATAATGTACCAACGTTATAAAAACATTCTAATATATAAACTAATGATTCACTCAAAGAACAGAAAAAAAAATACATAATTTGAATTTATTCAAAAGCTAAAAATAATAATAGTTAATTACAATAAAAATACTTTTGATCTCATAATTTCGGTTGACATGAAGAAACTACGGAGAAATCTGAAAATGAAGTAAACGAATTAGAAGGTGAAGATAATATCTGCAATGCAATAAAAGCATTCAATGATTATCACTTTGTGTACGAAGGAAAAAAACAAATATATATACTTACTGTATTTCCAATAACAGTTGACGCGCAGTAAATGACAGAAATCTTCGAAGCGACCGTAACCAAACTCCTCATCAAACCCGCAAACAGGATCGTCAGACTTTTGGCAAAGTAAAGCAATTGGACACCAGGGATTAACTTCGTGTTTATCATTTTGCTGTTCCGTCACAACAGTAGAATCATCAAGCGATCTTCGTGTTCCAGGCTGAAAAGATAGAAAATTTCATTTATTCTTTTACATAAACCTTCAAATTATTTTTTCTCTAATCACGTTTTCAACAAAGACCAAATTCGTAAGACGGATATCAACAAAATTTTCTATCCCTTCGACCTGAATAAAATTGTAGAAAAACACTTTGTTACTGAGTCAAATAACTTTATTAGTGTATAGTTATGAATAACTGGAGGGTGATAAGTGCATGCTCATCTCTTGAAGCATTCAATTCTTGTTGTATAAATGTTAAATTATAAAAACCTCTGAAAATTAAACTCTCCAAGAGAATCACACAGCACTCACCATGGAACGTTTCCCTTCAATAATCGGTGTTGGATCCGTACTACTGACGACCTCCTTCATAAACAAGTCTTTGGCTAGCCTGCCATACTTTGGCATATTCTTTCCAAGTTTAACAATAGGATTATCTTTCATATTATTATTCGCTTTTGGTTTTAATACCTTTTCTGGTTCCGCTTTTGTTGGCATTTTTGGTTTCTCAAGGCCCTTGCTTAGGTTGTCTATTAGTTTCTTGATCATATCGCTGCTGTTGTCCACGGATGTGATCAAATGTTCCAACGCTTGATTTTGATGCATTAATTTCTCTTCTATGAAATTGTAGAAATTTTCCGCTGAATTGTCGTCTTTATCAATTTCTCGCTTGTATATAGGCTGTAACGAAAATGTTTTCGTGTTTTATATAATTACAGAAACCGCGTCGAAATTGTGTTTTTATCATGATGAATACATAATATTGAAAACATTACTTTTACATTAAATAATTATTGCTGAGTACTAACTATTGAACGAGGTTTTACGCCAAATTCAAATATGATGAGATTTCCCAAAAGTATCCCTAATATTAATAATCAAACCGTATTTTAATACTTACTCTAATATGAACAGGATTTTTAAGGAATCCATTAATATGCGATTTTTCAACAAGAGCCACATTTGAAAAGACGCTCCCGGCCAATAGCACAAAAGCTGAAAATATAAAAAGTTCTTTATTTGCACAAAATAATTTGTTTTCATTTATGTATGTATATATTTTTTAAAGAGAAACGACAACGATACAATCTTCATCGTTAATGGCAATTCAAAGCGTAATAAAAAATTTCATTAAAATTCTCATTTGCCATTTATTGATTGCCTGTTTTCGATTGGATTTTTTTACTAATATGGTCCTTGTGTCCATGAATTACGGTACAAAAGCGATCTCACCGATAACTAAGGGTCTCATGATGCGTACTTGAGATCCGGGACGTTACAAGTAGGTCGGCCGTGGTGCTTGCTCCACTTATAGTGTTGGTAATTGACAACTAGAAAAAAAAAACTTGATACTTGCTGTTTAATGGGAAAAAATGTAATGGGATGGTTTTGAATAAAAATTTCGAAATGATGAACCATTTTCATAGTTATTTTAATTAAAAATATGAGGATAATAAATTAATTTACTTCACAAAAAACCTAAGAATTTAGTAGTTCAGCTTTACTTTGCTGTAACTAATGTGGTAGAGACTTGTTTCGGAACGAACAGTCAGGCTCAGACATAGTAGAATTGGCGTCACAGGACACCGTATGAAAAAACGCTTGCCATGTGAATGAGGTTTCCATAGGCCCAATCTTACCATCCACATCCAATTTTCAAATCTTTAAAAATACATCAAATATTGTAGGTAACATATTTTAAAATTATTTGGTGTTCTGACTCCGTGGGCAGCGCTGGTTGTTTGCCATCGGGAGATCCCACTGCTCGTTTACCGCATATCCCATAAACAAAGTCTTTTTTTGAATTAGGAAGCAAACGACCAGATCACCAGATCTTTGGTGTCTATGACTGGCAACAAGCAACACCATAGGAGACGCAGGCGCGTTTTTAGAAGTTTGAAGGCCGTATTGGATTATGTAGTACCAGTACCAGTATTAATAGATATATATCGTATATCAAATATATACTGACTTTTATCGTCATCTCAATTCATTGATTACATCCTTTATAAATGTTTTAGCGTTTACTGGTACGCAAATTAATGGCTTACGGCTACCTAAAGGTCACTTGTATTGAAGGTGTTATCCACTCTAATCGTAGCTTATGCCGGATACAAACGACCAGACAAGTTTAAGAATGAAAATTAAAGTTTACCATACAGGACGAACTCAAATTGTATTTAATTTTGTACCCACCATGTATCATTGTTGCTTGAGTGGTCAAATGTTGTGAAGCTTTTCCTTCGAGATTTTTTTTAAACTTTTTCGTTACAATGTAATGTTTTTTTGGATGTTTAAATGTTCTTAGTATCTGGTACATATGCTAGCATTGAACCCCAATACGAAATTATCTCCAAAATATCGGTAACCCACTCACATAACACTTATACAAACGGTTTTCCAGCAAGTGATATTTTAATTATTTTTTGAGAGGAAAAAAGCATCATATTTCTTCTTTCTAGGTAAAGCGTGTCCGACTTTTACTTTTGTTAAAAACTACAGTTTCTTCGTTTGGTCTGGGTTGAGCAGTGATATTACATTAGGCTTGCATCTGAAAACTCGGCTGAATATCGGCCCTAATCGACCCCATTCACGGTGATGTAATGGCGCACGGATTGTAACGCACCATTCGCTTGGGTCTAATTCTAGTCGGGCGACGATCTACCTTTGCTTGCCATCCGCAGACCCGCGGTTACAGTGGCGAAGATCGACGTGCGATCCCCACATCCAAGTATGTAGGCATCTCATGTGATGGCGAAGACCATGAGGAGGATCATTTCCTTCAAGTGGAATTTAGCTTGTAAACACATTGAACGCCATGGACAATGAAACATGTGGACCACGCTAGCGGAGAATTTGCTTTTAACTGTAATCTGTCGGCAGTCAATGACTTAACCACCCAACGCCATGAAAAAGAAATGTGGCCTCCTCATTAAGTACACAAAAGAGAGCAACTATACCTATGAATCGAATATAATATTTATTTGTTCATACCATTATTGTAAAATAATAAAATTATATAACTGACCATTTAAAGTACCTAAGTCAAGTTGTAGCCTGCCTTAGTAAGTATTATAAGTAACTAATTTAGTTTGGAATTTTATTGAAGTGACTCAATTCTAGTTTATGCGACTTGTTCTCATAATATTTTACTATATCATAAAAAGAAACTAACCTAGAATTGGAATACCTATCTGCATAAATGTTTTATTAGGTAAATGGACTAAAAAGATTAGAATGAACTTAGAATAATAATTATCAATTTCAAGGTTTCAAAATAATTTATTTTTCCGCCGACCTCTGAGGTATTATATGGTTACCTTACCCAATCAGAATGCTGGGATTGCAGATCAAGCGCAATGATGTCCTGTGGTATCGGCCTGTAGCAGAAGGAACGAGGTTGTTCTTAGTTAGTAAGAGTCTGACATTCCCTTTCCCTCAGAAAACCTAGCCAGAGTTGTTACGATGCAAAATTATCGATGCGATGTGGTATGTTGATAAAAAGTAGCCTATGTCCTATTTTGGAGTGTATCCTTTGCCTGTGCCAAATTTCATCCAGATCCGTTCAGCAGTTTTGGGGTGATTAACAAACGTCCAAACAACAAAACATCGTAACTTTCGCTTTACATTAATAATATTAGTTAGATAAGTCAGATACTTTGAGTACCTAATTAAATGTCTCCGAGTCTTATAGTCAACTTGTAATATCTTCTTTATCCCCAACGTGTCGCACTACTGCAAAGGGCTTACAAAGTAACTTAATTTTAAAATATGCGCCAGTGCGTGACCCATGCGTGGAATGAAACGCATAATGCAATCTTAATGTGACACAAAGTAAAAATACATTGATTTTTTCAATTAATGTAGTTAGTATCCATATATTATTTGTTCCCATTTCACATAATTTAACCGAAGAATAAAAAAAACTAGCTACTGCAACAGTTTTGTCTGGTTATTGGAACTATGTACGAATGGAATGGAACTAGATACGAATTGGAAAATGGCAGTCAAGTGTTTTATTATTTGTTTCATATTATATATTCTAGCTGTAAGTTTTCTGTGAAAATGTTAAAATAAAAATAAAAATACTTACCTAAAATTTTGTCTAAAGTCCTTGAATGTGTATGTTCCTCGAACGATCAAGACTATTCCTTCGGAGTAGCATCTCGAATATGATTTATAGTTATTAGGCTGGTTGTAATTGCGTTACAGACGTTGATACGGCTCTCCTACTCACAATTTCATTATCAACCCGTATCACATTGTGCACGCCAAATAATTTCTATTAACAATTCTATTAAAATTTACTTGTTTTGTATCATGCACAAAATTGTACTTTTTTAATAATTATTATTGACTGCATGGTTAATTATTGATAATAAAATTGTTGGCTTTACAGCTGACTGCTGTGCGACCTATCGCGGGTTCAATTCCTGCATCGACAACACTTTGTGTAATCCACAAGTTGTTGTTTCGGGTCTGAGTAGGTTGTGTATGAGTTTGTATGTTTGTAAACGCACTCACGACACAGGACAAAATCCTAACGAGGGAAAATGTTCGAAAAAATGTACAAAGTTCTTGTTTGTATTTTAAATGTGGTTGGTACAGGTAGATCGCCCGCCATGTGGGTAAATCTGCCTTATGAAACAGTCTCAGAGCCTGTTTGTTTAAATGTTTCCGGAACTACGAGTTCGAAATGAATAAGTCTTTTAATATTGTAATTTCCATTTACTGAGGAAGGCCATAAAACATCACGCTATGACCAATAGACACCAAGCAGCGGGTGAAACCCTGCCACAGTAGCTACCTAGCTAGTTATAATAAATAAGTATACGATTTCATTTGAATATTTAAAAAGCAATAAAAGTGTTTTAGCAATAACTTTTGAGCGTGCTGTTGACTCACACCCACGTATCAGACGAATTCTCTGAAACAGTACACTAGGTTTCTAGCCACCAGCTATAGTAGAACCTTGTACAGAAGGCGGATAAAGGATTTCTACAACAACCATAAGTGGATAAGGATCATGTTACACTGGCAACAGACACCCACGCCGGCGCCAGTAATGATCTTATTTTTAATAAAAGTCCTGAGCTTTATCTGAAGCGTGTAAGGTCTATTATAATTTAGTTTATATAAAAACGAGCAGTGTTTGCTCACTTGAATCGTTGACTTTATTAAGTACTTTATATTAGGTCGCTAGTATAAAGGGCGTGATACTAATCAATAAAGGCGAAGTCAAGTTAACGTGGTACAAGACTGCGTTGTTTGAATGATGATACCACACGAAGGAGAATAAACATCAATAAACAGGGTAACAAATACAAAAACAGAGATACCTCCGTAGTATATTTTCCTTTTGGAATTTCTTCCTGCAGATCTTTGATAGGAAAAACGTAAAAGACACAAGATACTGTGTCTACAGATAGAGTAACGAAATAAAAACGCTAAATCTATACTAATATTATAAAGAGGTAAAATTTGTAAGTTTGTATGTTTGTAAATTTGTATGTATGGGGTAATCTTTGGAAGCGCTGGTGGTTTGCTGAAAATTCTTTCACGGATAAGATAGTTACAATGTTTCTGAGTGCTATAGGCTATAAAAAATCACGCTACGATTAAATGGAGTTGAGCAGCGGGTGAAACCGCGCGAGAATAGCTAGTATAGTAATATGAACGATTTATTACATAAATATGAACATAACTAACCTGCACGACATGAAGAAACGAAGTATTCCTTAACAATTTTTGTTCTAACACGGAACTAAAGAATTCAATGTCGTTAATTTTTTTTTATCACAATCAATACAGCAGGTTAGAAATTACACTCCCAATTTTGTTATAAAATGTTTTCTCTTACACAGACTTTAAAATGTTAGAATAGAATGCAAACTTCGACCACAAAAGCAGGCAGTGCACAATGTGGGTCACCTCTGAATGCTGCATATAATATGTACAAATGTGCACTACATAATATGTATATTTAAAAATGGAAACCTTAAAAGATTTCTTCTTTGTTCAGCTAAAATCTAGGTTTAAAGTGTATAGAATGGTACGGATACTTATAGGTAGGTTTTAAAAATATTTCATAAAACCTATTATATTATATTTTAACCCTAGATTACTACTCTACGTCGCAGAGGCGCCCGCGTTTTTGATATATTGCTTTCTCTTTTCATCCTTTGCGCGTACGGCATTCACGTTCAAGGACATCTCAGTCATCGCCAGCACGTGTCGCAGGACGGTGGTTGCGTTACGGTAAGTGTAATGGTTTTTTTGATATTACTACCCTTGGCGCTCCAAAGACGTATGAGTAGTTTGTATGTAAGTTTTACGCTATTAATCAAATTATTTTGTTAGTGTTTTTTTGTTCATTATTAGTTACTAAAAGTGTGTTTTATCTTTTTTTTAGGTACGTTTTGAAACTTCAACATCATGGCTAGTAATAGAAGAGCTATGGATGATATTATAGCTAATTGGCTAGAAGAAAGCGACCATAACAGTGATGATAACTTTTCGGATGCTGACTCTGAAATTGAAGATCACGTAAGCGATTAAGATGTTCAGGACGATGTAGAAGAAGGATACATAGAAGATGAAACTATAGAGAACTCCAGTGACATAAGAGCTGAAGAATCTGTTTCATCTTTTGTCCCTGAAAATAGTGAGAGTTTGGAGCAATCCAGTTCTGATCACCGTATCCTAGTCCCGGCGCGTCGAACATTGAAGGGCAAAAATCAGCACCGTTGGTCTACTTCTAAAGGTGAAAGTCGAGGTAGAACCACTGCTATAAACATTGTGCACACTTCGAGAGGCCCTACTAGGATGTGTAGAAATGTCTTTGAGCCTAGTGTGTCTTTTGATTTATTCATCACGGAAGACATTGTTGGTGAAATAGTGAAGTGGACAAATGTGGAAATATCTAGAAAAAGACCTACTGGAAATACCCACGCTACCTGCAGAGATACATGCTCCATAGAAATTAGAGCCTATTTTGGTATTTTGACGCTAACTGCTGCAATGAAAGATAACCACCTAACTGCAACTGAGCTATTTGATAGCACCTTTTCAGGGTCTAGGTATTTAGCTGTGATGAGCAGGGAGCGTTTTAACTTTCTCACGCGTTGTTTGAGAATGGATGACAAGACTTTGCGTCCTGCCTTACGTCAAGAAGATCCTTTTATTCCAATCAGGAAGATATGGGAG